ATCATTTTCCCTTCTTGAAAATAGTGCTAGAAAACACTATTTTGTTGGTCGAAAGGTCTCATTCACTGCATTAAATTCATTTTTGCTATGAGCACTTTATATCACACTGTTTGTATTATCAATAAATATATTGTTTTTAGACAAACCCTTTGGAATTTTGGACCCCATTATTACTTGTTTACATATTTGGTTGGACCAAAATGAAATCTCCTGTTTAAAAATTACTCCATCCTATTTTTAATAAATGTCGTTTTGAGAAGTTGCACAATAATTAAGAATATTTTTTTGTCAATAATAACCTTCATTAATGAGAATAGAGATTGATATTTTGAAAAAAGATGGAGAGTGAATATGAAAAGACGTAGTGTATTTATTAGTTAGATGAGGGCAATAATGAAAAAATATGTACAAAACGACATTTATTTAACAAATGATCAATTAAGCTAGGATGACAAATAATAAAAATATGAGGGAGTATAAAATTATTTTATGTCCTTGCAGAATTTAAATAGGTTGCATGTATTAACTCTATCCAAAAACTTCATTCAGAAAAATTATTAAACAGAAGTAATACAATTTTACTGAAGAAAAAAAAAACAAGGCACAGAAGAATACATAAAAAAGCTAAGTAAGAATCACTCATATCTCATGCCACTCCATAAATTACAATTAAAAATTTACAGCAAAACAGATGAATTTAAAGAATCTTTCAAATTGTTAGGGAGCTATTTATACTTCTACTACAAAGCCAAAGTAACAGTGGCACACAACACAGTCACTGAACAACACTTTCGAAATACTTCGCAACTACTTTAGACGAGCAACAGTCAAACAACACGTTCGACCAAAAAAAAAAAACGAGACCCTTCTCTATTTTTTTCCCATAAAACACGAGGATTTCACCATAAATCGCGCATTTAAACGGATGGGAAATATTTGTTGAGGTTAAAGGGAAGAGAGTAGAATTCCTCACTTCTTGTGTCGGTTTTGAACGATCGGAATTTGTCCCACCAATGTTTGCCTCTATCTTTCCTTATCTGGCCATCTTTTTTGTGCATTGTGTTATCCAAGAAATAAGCCACTATACTGGCAACAAAAGCCTCCGAAGAAAACGGGACGTTGATAATGTCGTTGAACTGAAAAAAGTGTAACCAAAAATCGAAAATTATTGAATGTTTGTTCAAGTGGTATAAGGCTATATACAATTTAATTTTAGAAGATAATGGGGTTTTAGTAGTATTGGAATTTGGGTTGAAAAAAATAAGGTAGGAACTATATGGCAGAATTGCATTTTTAGTCCTACTGGATTAACACCATAACAATTTTAGTCCTAAAGTTCCAACATTTCACCTTTTGGTCCTGTAATTTAATATTTTGTTGCAATTTTAGTTCATTTGAGGATTGAAATTGCAACGAATTCCAAAATTAACATATTTTCGATTAGCAATTTAGTCTTGTAATTTAAAATTTTATAACAATTTCGGTCCTCAAGTGACTGAAATTGCAGCAAAATATTAAGCGAAAAATTGGAACCTTGAGACTAAAAAATTGCTATAACGTTAAACAGGACTAAAATTTTGCCGAACGATAATTATCCTAAAAAAAGAATAAAGATTTCCATTTTTTTTTTTTTGCATACCCTCTTCCAGATGTGTGGACAGGCCCGTATCCTTGAATAGCCGTGTACTCGTTAAAGTATTGGGGAATGGATAAGCCAAGGAAAATCGAAAAGCCCAATATGAACTTGGTTCGGAAGCTGTTTAGGTTGCAGAATTGAAGAAAACTCAAACCAGCAGCACCTGTGTAATGTTCGTAAGTCGAATGTGATAGCATTTTTATATACAAGATAAAAGTCGAAAAGTTACTATGAAAATTTGTAAATTAATAATGTTTTTTAACAGTTTGTAAATACTCTCTTTGAGTTGGATTACACATACCAACATAAGCAAAGAAGAGGCAATACAATGCAGCCACAATAGGTGCTGGAATTGAAGCAAAAACGGCCCCGAATTTCCCTGTAAAACATAATTCTTGAGATTTATATGGAGAAGTAATAAAAATATAAAAAAAATAAAATTACTAAATATAGGGAAAACAAAAAAGAAAAAGAAAAAAGATTACCGAGAACAGAGAAGAAAATCATGAATCCAGCAGATATCTGCACTACTCTTCTACTGCCAACACGGGTCAGTGCTAAAAGGCCAGCATTTTCATCTGACTATTCATTGAATGTTTAAACCTGCTTTATCTGGTGAGTGTAAATTAGATATAATGTGTTTAGTTTCAACCAAATTTTCTTGAAAGTTTGAAAACAATATTAGTTATTAAAACAGAATACTAATTTCGTAATTTGTCTTGATAAATATTAGCAAAATATCACTTAAATGTTCATTTAATTAAATACCTGCCAGCCGATACCACGGCTCAAAATGGATGGTGGCAATGGAGTTGCACTTGCATATCGGGACACAGCAATAAAGCCACCAGTTGACTGAATTCAACATCAAGATCACAAAAAGGTTCGATAAAACCCAAAAATATAGTGAATTATATATAACTTCACGTTGAACGAGAATTTTCAAGAACTTTAGTAGCAAAGTCTTTGAAGTTTGAACAATAATGAATATAAAGCAAAAAATCTAACAAATTCCAGTAAATCTAACAAATTCCACTCATTTACTGTTACGAATTATGATATTCAACCCCCATACAATCTGAAGAAAAAGTAGTCACATAAAAAAAAATAAAAAATTATATATATATATATAATAACAACTTAATGTGAAAAAAAAAAATGAACCTCGACAAGCGCAACAAATGCAGCCATCATCATGGCAAAGGCTTCACCAGCATCAAAAGAGGGAGCACCCCATTGGAAAGGGTAAGGAACGCTTATCCTGAGAGAGAGAGAGAGAGAGACAGAGAGAAATCTGTGACTTGACAAACCCAATTCACTACTACAAATTGGTGCATTAGTAACCAAAATTTGCAACTAAATTTTAGTAGTTACAATAGTAACAATGATTTAGATGCGGAATATACTTTCAGAAACGGAATGTACTTTAAACTATTGTATTTGTATTAGTAACTAATTTTGTGACTACCTCCCTATGTTACAAATACATATAGATGGTTTCAAGTTAAAGACTTCAAATTGTAGCATATTCTAATTTATATAATTTTAATATAAAACATAAATATTTCATTTATCGTCTTTACAAGCCTCGAACACTAGAGCAAGATTCATACGGAGTTAGTTTAAGAAAAATACTTGAAGTGGACTAAATGAGCAAAACTCAATGCCCCACTTTCTTATCTAAAACTTCAATTAGTAGATCACAATACAACAAAAAGGAGTTATAACAACATAAATATGGGGACTTTTTTAATAAGTGTATTTTAAATATGTGTATATTGCAATATCTTTGCATTTTCCTTTAGTATCAACTCATGAAAAATGTAATCTATTTTTATCATCTTCATCGTATGTAGACATAACATAATTGTAGTAAGCCAAAGAAAAATCCAGTTGTTGGACTTCAGGTTTTAGCAAATCAGTTGAAAGAACAATTCATCTCAAGCAATTTTTAACATTCAGAAAATAATATTAAAAGGTTTGACACATCACATTAAGCATATTATAAATGGCTGGATCGAGATTTATTTACAAAATTATGGGTGGTGTTAAAAAAATGATTACTTAGTACCAAAGCATGAAATGTAAGCTCACCATGGAGCAGCATTAATAAGACCCGAACGATCGGTTCTACAGCTTGTTTGAGTCTTTGGTGGCTTTCCATTGTAGGCCCCACCCACAGTAAGAAGATGGGCGTAAATCCACACGATCACAACAGTAAATATAACAGCAAAACGGTCAAATATATTCTTTCCTGGGCGTATCAGGTGGGCCAAGTACTGCAAAGACAAAAAATAAAAATAAAAATAAATAAATAACTTCATCCAAGTGGTCGAGTGCTTGAATAATTAAACCACCGATTTTGGCTGCTTCAATAGTTAAATTACAGAACAGAAGCTTCTAGATAATGTTAGCATGGAGCATATAGAACTATTGACTTCTCCATAAATTGATCATGTGGAAATTCAGTTTAGATAAGTTATCGGGTGGTTTGGAATGAGTTACCTGGGAAAACAGAACCAGAAGGATAAGCTGTGGCAACCCAATTTCAATACATTTAGCAACCTGAACAATCATAACAAAAAAAAACTCAGAAAGAGGGAGGGAGAGAGAGAGAGAGAGAGGTTAATTGCACTTGCCCCAGGAAAACCGAACTCATAGAGCCCAAAACCAGCAAGAGCAACCAAAGGAACAGCTGAAAGTGGACTCAAAAATCTGTATCATCATTAAAAATATAGCATCAATTAATCAAATGAATACCAGACAATAAAATATAATCTATACACCACCTAATATGTTACAGTTAGTGAGAAAATTAACTATTGTTATATTAAAGGAAATTCCATGCTTCATTACAAAATAACTTTGACATAGGATAAGATTAAAAAAAATATATATATGGCAATCATATCCAAAAAAGCAGTGCTGATAAACCTTGCGACATTACGCCATAGACCGCTAAAACCAAGCACAATTTGAATGGTTGATGCCACGATAAGTGCACCTTGAGTGGCCCTCATGATCTTCCTGAACCTCTGTATTATTATTTAATTTAAAAAATATATATATAAGTTAGCAGCCATTTAGTGCTTCTTTGTAAGAATTTTCAGATACATCACTATTATGTCATGGAGCAGCAATATCTAGGCCATGAATAGTTTTCTCTATATGCAACTTAATGCTAGTGAAAGTAATCAATCAAAAAGGGGTACCAGTACACAAAGCTAGATGGAAAGCTAGGAGCATGTTTGTTTACAAAATAATTCATTCACATTCAATTCGAATTGCTCAAAATTTAACTCAACCTCACTATCATCAATATTATCAATATAATTAAATAATACAAACCAATTATTTTTATACATCACATCAACTTTAATTCATTATTGATCAACTCACATAATTTTAACTAACTATCACTTTCACATCATTTCTCTCATACTTTTACATCTAATCAACTTTAATTATTTTATTTTAAATATTATTTTAATATAAATTCAAAAGACCACTAACAACTAACCATCCAACTTTTTCAAAGTTAACCCTGATTAATCGAAAAAACTCATTTTGAGCGGATTAATTTGTAACTATAACCGAAAAAAATTAAATAGTTACACGACCAAAAATTAAACAAAAAGGGAAATGCAACTTATGAGGCCCTCATAATCCAAGAAAGTATAATAGTAACAGAAAATCAAAGGTTTCATCATCACAAACCGATACTGGATCCGGGTCACTCCATCTACCGGATAGGATAATCGAAATTGTGGGTGCAACAAATGTGTATGAACCCCCAATCACAGCAGGTAATCTTGTTCCGAACCATGTTTGCAGCAGGGTGTTCAAACCAGCAACGAACAACAGAGTCTGAATAACCTTAGCTTTCTCCTCCTTTAATAAAACACAAAAAAAAGGCAAGGTGTGCATAAAAAGATTCATGGGAATAAGAATATAAAAAAACAGAATTTTGAGTGAGAATGTAAATTGCATTGTTATCATATTAATGGCTCACATTTCCTCCTCCCATTTGAGGAACGAGGGCAGTGGGTATGATAACGGTTGTCCCGAGCATCACGAGATAGTGTTGAAATCCAAGAAGGATTGCCTCGGCTGAGAAAAATGCAAAGCAAACCCAAGTTGTCTTATGATAACAATAGAATAATATGAAAAAAAAAAAAAAAAAATGAAACAAAATAGTCTTGAGCATAGATGAAGAAGTAGTTTATGCATGCACCACATCTAGTGACATCACCGTGCAGATGATGACTAGTTGACGAGCTTTTAAGAACTTTGTATCATATGAGTTAGGAGTCATTCAAGCACAATGTGATAAAACGAATAGTTAAAATAACTAGTTACCAAAGTGAGCAAGCCTAGTGAATGTTAAATTGGATTATAAAATCAGGCTTTCATTAGTCGCCATTAGAATAGCCAGAAAAGTACATCAAACCCCTCAAAATTACAAGGAAAAATGTCGTACAGTAATTATTTCGATTCATAAACGGAAACTTAAATTTTGAACAACCCATTAACATGTTAAGACTTTTTTAACAAATACAAAAGGAAAGGAAATGAAGGGGAGAGGATAATTTAGAAAAGCAAGGGGAAAATGAAAAAAAATAAAAAATAACAGGAATCAGAACAATATTAGGTTCTAGTTGACCAAAGAAAGAGATAGTATAATGTATAGATTAGCATAACAAGGCTCCACACAAATATTCTGCATAGCACTTCTAACTAAAACCTAGAAACTAATGTACCCCATGAATATACACACATAAAGTGTAAAGTAAGGGACTAAATTGACAACCCAATTATTTCCCCAGCTATAAGGGGAAAAAGAGAAACAACAGAGCTGAAAGAATCCCAAACCCATTTGTACAGAAAATCAAGAATATAGTAAAAAGTAGAAAAAAATACAACAATTTAATAAAAAGGTGGAAATTGCACAAGAGGCTCACGCCATGGAGGAGGGCTTGTTATGCAATAACAAACATTTGGGAGCTGATCTTTTGGAGGGTGTGGTGCTGGTTCATCTGCCTTTCCACCTCCTGCCATTTTTCTCCCTTATCTTTCAAGCTTCAATTTCTGGAAACGGAAAAAAGAGAAAGAAAAATGAGAATAAATGCATTTCCTCAAGATTTACACTACAAATTCTTGCAACAGTAAAATTACAAACGCCCAATCTGCAAATGGCCCACATAAACATACAACAAGAAAAAAGAGAACAGAGCNTCCCCTCTTGCTACTACTATCAGCAAAAAGAAAGAGGAGCAGAAGAAAAATGAAACTGCAACAGAAGAAAGGTGTAAGAGTGATGTGTGCTAAGGATGTGTCATTATTGAAACATAAATCAGAATATTACACCGCCAGAAACAAATAAACAAAATTAATGATGAGAATAAGGTGGGAAAAGAAAGGCACCTAATTGTGAAATTAAACAGCTTTTCAAGAAGCAAATCAAGTGAGGATTCTGAAAGTAGAGAGCTTAAAGTCAATAAATGAAGGAGCCCACCTCAAAAAAAGTTTGAGCAAAATGGGGAAGGTTTGTGTGTGTGTGTGAGAGAGCTTGTGAGTGAGTGGGAGAGAGAGAGAGAGAGAGAGAGACTGAAAGAGGAAAAGGGAAAGGGGTAAAGGAGAAAAAGCAGGAAACTTTGGCAGAGGTAATACAAAAAAATGGAAGGGTGGAAAGAGTGAAGAAAAAGGTAAGCAGAAAATGTGAAAATTACAAAAAGGCAACAGTTTTACTGTTAAACCCTTTTCCCCCCTCCTAAAATCTTGTTAGGCTTGTTTCAAAACAAAGAATATGCTTAAAATGAGTTTTTTTAGTTAATTAGAACTATTACGTACACGGGACAGACATAATAAATAAATTATTATCACAATCTTTGTCCGTTTAAGTATATAAAGTAATAGAGTTATCATTTATTTTCCACCTCTTTAATCAGCGTTAAGTGTAATAAACAATAAAGTTATAATCTATTTTGCACTTCTTTTAATCAGCGTGATTTTTTTAGTCAAAACATTAAATATGACCATGTTAGTGCTAACTTGTAAAATAATTAATATATTATCTCACTAACACATTTATATTAATATAAATTTAATTTTAGTATATAATTTTACTTATTATTGTTCACCATATAATACTTAATTATTATTTTATTATATACTTTGTTATCATATAATGTCATTATTATTTATAAAGTTAAAGAAGTTGTACGTCTTCTTTTCCTTTATATTTTATGTAATGAAAAATATTTAATGCACGTTATTATTATTTATTTATGTAATCAATTTAAAATATGTAAATAAATTTAAAATTAAATAGTGTGTGAATATTTTACAAAATATACACATGTTTTTTTAGAATTTGATTTTGTATACTAATTAAACAACTTTGACTTAGAAAATACCAAAAACTCAATCCCTTCTATGATCAAGATTTTTCTAATTCGCATTATAAGGATTTATAGTTTTTTTAGCATACTCTGCAATGAATATTTATTTTACAATAATTTAATTATAGAAATAAATAAAAATAAAAATAAAAAAAATAATCATGGGTGCCAATAATATACAAATAAATTCTAGAAAATATTTAATATATTTCAATTTTAATTTTTTACCATTAGTAAAACTAGTTAATGTATATGGTCATTATCTCTTAAATAGTAAATTATATTAATTTAAAGAATAATTTATTTTTTATATTTAACAAAATAAAGCTTAAGAAAAAAATATATTGGCAAAGATTAATTCACCAACTTCATTTTGTCTGATTACTTGGAAAAACAATTTTACCTAACCTGTTACAATTTTCCATAAATATTTTTGGATAAAAAATGAATATTTGTGAAAAAAAATTATATTATGGTTAGAACTTAAAATATGGTGTAATATTTATCTTGACCAAAATATTATGAACATGGATCATGGAAATCAATTGTAATTTATTATAATGAATACCAATGAAAGTATTACAAATATTAACAAAATAATATTTATCTTGACCAAAATATTATCAACATGAATCACGGAAAATCAATCTTGTAATTCATTATAATAAATATCAATGAAAGTATTGCAGATATTAATAACTTTATTTAATTAATTTTTTGATCATATCTTATTTGAAAACGTGTATATGAAAGCAATTAACGTATATATTTAAAAAGTTTTCAAAAATGGTATGCATTCAATGTTTCATAAACTTTTGGCTACTATTTTTAGTAAATGGTAATTCTTATTATATATATATATAGATTGTTTAGAGGTTTAATTTTATGTTTATCGAGAGTTCACAATTGTCTTTCTTAATTTTTTTTAAATCAATATTCATTATCGATTAAGAAAAATATATATAATTTTTTTAAATCTCACTTTTTATGAAGACATTATTTAAAAATCTGATTTTAACAGAAATATTATTTATTTAATATCTATATACGATTTTGCGATGATCGATTTTGCTAATCAGAAATTGCATTGACATATTCTTTACAAAAATTGTCCTCATTAATAATTGCTCTCAATTATGTATTTAATATATACTCGGACTTTCTGGTTTAATTAAATAATTTTGAATCTTTTGAAATATGATTTTAAATGTGTAGAGTCCTAAATATGCATATGTATAATTAAATATGTAAATTTACGAGCAAACATTGAAATTCTTTAACGAATAACCAATGTGCATATCGAATCTTAAAGTATATATAGCATTGATATTCTTTATTTGATAAATAAATAAATATCAAATGCTTTTTTAACTAATCTAAAAATGGATATAAATCATTCGTGCAAATGTCTATATAGCATAGGAATTTTATATTCACTTATATAAATGAATGTTATACTCATTTGATATCGAATGTTCTAAAAAATTGAGCAGATATATACTAAATCGATCTCGGGTGATCGAGTTATGGGTCAATGACACAACTGAGGTTGATCCTGACTGACCAAGTTATGGGTTAGTTTGACTAGACTAAATCGATTATTGAACTAGATATAATTTTTAATATTAAAAATACATTATTAAAATAAAATATAATGTAGTTCATACTCCAAATAATCATATTAAGAATGCTTTTGTGACAACATGTTCAAAGAATTATGAACAATTATATTTTAGTTTATTAATATTTATGTGAACAAAATGATGTTACATTACAACTTTATTAATGTACGGTAAATTTAGAGTTCTCGGGAGAGAATCGGTTTCAAAACGATCAAGTTATTTATTCAATGATTTANAAAAAAAAATGAAAAAATAAATATTAGAAATTATATATAATATGAATAGCTACACATGTGAATATGGTCTACTTTAAGATGACAAATGGCTTAAAAAAAAATAATCAATCTACTCTTAATTTAGTTTGAAACTGAAATAGACACCTAAAATTTGAATTGTTTTACACAATTATTATTATGCCTGCTTTTTCTTCTTTAATATTGAAATGACTTTGGGTTTCTTTTTTTAACTTGTATTTATATGTCTTCTAATACTTATCATCAATTTACAAGTCATGTTGAATTCAAAACTTTATGAATACTATAATATGGAGTTCAAAATGGATTTCTTGTAGAGTTCGATCGCCTAGTTGACACAATTTATCAATAAAAAAGTCCATTCACAAAGCACAAACTTTTTTATTTGATATGATAAGATAAATAGGCAATTTAGGTTAGATAGATTCAACTTTACCCGAAAAAATCCGGGTTAATTTGACTGAGTCAAAATAACCTTGGCTTCATAACAAACCAATTTGGGCTAAATTTACATTTAGATGCATGAATAATGGTAACATACAAGTTAGAAAGAGGTGCCATGTTCTACTAGTATCAATACGAATGATATATCTTTATGATGTGTTTGTAGAAAAAGTGTTTTCAAACTTTTCAATACTCAATATTTTTCCAATAATTTAATATAATGCTAGCTTACTTAATGACAAGATCTTTAAGAAGATGTCCGTCATTGTCTCAATTTTGGTTATTGGGCAATCAATAGGGAGGTGATATTCATCAATCACAATTAATAAATAGATTAATAATTGAGCAATTAATTGATTGTCATATAGTAGGGCTGCACACGAGTCGAGCGACTCGCGAGCCGCTCGCGAGCGCTCGAGCTCGAGTTTGACCGAACTCGAGTTCGTGACTCGAGTCGAGCTCGAGCACGAGCCCATATTTTACATTGTTGAGCGGCTCGCGAGCGGCTCGAGATATATGGTAAATTACTAAAATACCCTTTCTATATATAATTTGACAAAATTGTTTGAAAATTTTCGAACCGAACTCGAGCCGAGCTCGAGCATTTTGAATTCGAATCGAGCTCAAGCCGAGCTCGAGCTATTGTATTTTCTTATCGAGTCGAGCTCGAGCTTAAAAAATCGAGCTCGACGAGCTCGAGCAACTCAAAAAAAAAAAATCAATCTTGCTCGATAAAGGCCAATGCTCGACTCGGCTCGGCTCGTTTGCAGCCCTATCATATAGTACCTATACATTATAGAAGGGAATATAGTCAATATACAAATATTACAGGTGTAAAATGAGTCATGTAGAGCTCGAGCCCTTAACGAGTTTATAATCAAGTTTGAGATCGATTCTTTTATCAATATTAACGAATCGAACTTGAATCAAAATCGAGCTTTAACATGCCGAACTATAAAAAATTATACGAAAAAATATATTTTTGAGTTTTAATTAACGAGCTGAATTGAATCATATCGTTAACCAAAGAAATTTAATAAATAAAGCGAGTCGAACCAACCTCACAAGCTGCTCATTTCACTTAACTAACTCTTATATATAATGCTCAAAAGTTAGACTGAGACTCTACTTTGGGATGCCAAATACACCACACCCACACATTACTTTCATCCCCTCTCTAGAAAACTTAGATACAACTTGCACCATATGCATCTTGGGAAATGTTTTATTTGGAGATATGAAAAGATAAAAGATACAAATAAAGAGAATTATTACTTTTTGATTGCAATACGCCAATACCCTTCAACTAAATGACAATTATTGGCGTTTAAAAATAAACATATGTAAAGATTGAATTTGGGATAATTTAGATTTGGTCAACCTCAACCAAAAGTAAATCAATAGTAAATTATTCAAAGTATATATTTGTGAGAAGAACAATTTGTAAAGAAGAAGACAAGCCAACCGACATTGTTTTCTTAATTCGTAGTCCGTAGATATATTTCATGTGATAATGAGAAAATCGTTCACGATACATTTTAATGTCGTTTAAAAAACAAATCAATATAATAACTTGCGACAAGTAAATTTATGATTTGTACGTAATTCAGCAAATGTACAATACTTTAAATAATACGCGTGATAAGTAATAGTATTGATGAATAGGTAAGAACGATGTGTAATTAAAAGGTAAATTCAAAAAAGTAAATCATTTTATTAATGATAGGTAAAAACTTGTTTGGTGAACTATTCAAATTTACTTATAATGTTTTACTTTATTTTTATATTGAATCAATAAATACATTTTGAAAGTAAAATTGTGATATCTAATGCATTTAACATATATAGTGTGAACTAGT